CAAGATGGTATAAACCAGGGGTCCTCAAACTTTTTAAACAGGGGGCCAGTTCACTGTCCCTCAGACCGTTGGAGGGCTTTTGGAGAGTTCGGCGCACATTCCACACATGCGCACTGTGGGCCCCAGACGAGTGGGCTGCTAAGCAGGACAGGCAGGGCAGGATAAATGTCCTCGGCAGGCTGCGTGTGGCCCACCGTAGTTTGAGGATGCCTGGTATAAACGCATCAACCATCTGGCCATTTGTTTGACTTTTTATATTTTATATAACCCCTATGCACACATGTGCATGTAATCAAATTTGTATGCCTTTTTCCTGTTAATCTATTATTGGTTTGTTTTATTGACTGAAATTATTAAACTTCAGGGGAAAGATCTAGACTTCCCTATAATCTCACTTATATATGGAATCTAAAAAAGTCAAGCTCATAGAAGCAGAGAATAGAATGGTGGTTGCCAGGGAGGGGCTGGGAGGTGGGGAAGTGGGGGGATGGTGGTCGAGGGGTACAAACTTTCAATTATAAAGTGAATAAGTTCAGGTGATTTAACATACAACCTGATGACTATAGTTAACAATACAGCCTTATTTACTTGAAAATTGTTAAGAGAGTATACTTAAATGTCCTTACCACACATACATACCGTGTTTCCCTGAAAATAAAACCTACCCATAAAATAAGCCATAGCAGGATTTCTAAGCATTTGAGCAATATAAGCCCTACCCCGAAAATAAGCCCTAGTGATGGTGTGGGTATGCAGTGTGTTTGCACAACCCATGCTTTTCGTTGGGGAGCGGTAAAGAAGAGGAACAGCCCTTCTCATCTGCCCCATGAGAGCTCTGTTGTTCCACATGAGAGATTGGGGTCAATGGTTCTACAGGAAATAGAGTTGTGAGAAATTCAGTATGGAATTTGGGGTTTGGAGAGTTATGATGATGTTCCAGAAGAAGATGACTTAACTATATTTGAATAAATGTAGATTGTTGTACCGTACTTAAAAAAATAACACATCCCCTGAAAATAAGCCCTAGGCTGTCTTCTTGAAGAAAAATAAATATAAGACCCTGTCTTATTTTGGGGGAAACGCAGTACACATCTTCCCCACAAATGGTAACTAAATGTGGTGATGAATGCGTTAATTCATTTGATTGTGCTAATCACTTTACAATGTATACATATGTCAAATCATCCTATTGTACACCTCAAATATATACAATTTTTATTTGTCAATTATACTTCAATGAAGCTAGAAGAAAAAAATAAAAGGAGCCCAGACCACTTCAAAATATAAGTGTAGCCATGATCTTCTGAGAAAATTAACAGTGTAGTAGCTAGTGTAGGGGTGAAGGGAAAAATTTGGCCTCATCCTTGGATGTTTTACTGAAAAATCAACTCAGAAAAAGCAGATCAATAGAAGAAAAGGCATACAAACTTATTAGTGTGCATGGAAGAGAATCAGAGTGATTGCCCTACCACACAACAGGGTATAGATGTTTATATACCTTACTTCTTAGGGGAAAGGGAGATGGGGAAGCATGGATGATTTTGCAGGGGTGGGGGGAGAGTAAATGATTTTTACGGGACTTCAATGGGCTTGAAGAACATATACTGGCCTGGGACAAAATCTGTTGGGCCTGCAGAGCAGACAGTGGTTTGTGACAAAAGTTTATCTTTCTTTGTTGACAGACTTTATTCTTCCTCCCTGTGATATGAGTTCAGTTAATGAAAACTCAGGGGAGGGACCGGAAGCCATTGCTTTTTTCTTTGGTAGGTCCAGACTTTAGGCAGGTAAGGAACTTCAGAGAACAACTTCATCCTGTGCTTTGGGAGATTGAGAGACAGGGTGGGGGAAAAGGAAAAATAATGGTTTTTCTTGGTGGGTCCATTAGGACTTCATGTAGATAGGGGAAAAAGTCTCTTCTAGCATTTGTTGATCTCTAATGGCCTTTAATTCAAAATACTCTTTATACCAGAACCCATAATTTGGGATGAAGTTCCCTGTGCTTCTTCACTAGGTACACGTTGGAGTTTAGGTTGGGTTCTCAGGCCTAACGAAGGTAACCTAGAACAAGTAATGAGAAAGGTCACCATTTTGAGCCTGCTTGGAGTTGGGTGGGTTGGGGTCAACCTTATCAATGGCATATCACAAATTCCAAATTGATTTGGAGATACCTCACTGACAAGGTAATGATTTAGAATAGGGTTTCTCAACCTTAGCACTATTGACATTTGGGGCCGGAACACTCTTGGTGATGGGAATTGCCCTTTCATGGTAGGAATTTTATAGCAGCATCCCTGGCCTCTACCCACTAGGTGACTGTATCACAACAGTTGGCCTCCAGCCCCAGTTGTGACAACCAAAAATATCTCCAGATATTGCAAAATGATGTCCCTTGGGGAGCAAAATCACACCTGCTTGAGAACCATTGATTTAGATGAGAATGGCCATGAATGAATTTCACCATTGCATTATGCCTGTCTATCTGCATTTTGAAAGAGGAGGTACTGTTTTTCCAGGTGTTTCTTCTAAAGCTTTTCTGTTTGGATTTCTGCGTCAGAATAAGGAAATGAAAAGAATGCCTCTAAGCATCTCCTATTCTCTCATATCCTTCCTTCTTCTTACTCACACTTGCTAGGTGTTCATTTTTTTCTCTTTCTATTGAGCAATAAGTAATGTCTTATTGAATTGATTTAGGTTTGCAGTTTATTTTCCTACTGCAGTGACTCAATACACCCTTTTCCATAACAATAAACAAAAAATATCTTTAAACAGGGGGTTTATACTAGCTGAAGTTCATTTAGTAAAACATTCCAAGGGATTCTATTTTATGAAGCATCACAAAAAACTTCCTTTACTGAGTATCACAAAAGTTCTGAAGGTACATGAAATCCTCTTTCAAGAAAAGGACTGTTGGCTGAAGCCTTCGGCCTTCTGGTTCCTTGAGGACTTTCTGTGGCTTGGGGAAAAAGCAGAAACTCCCCCGTGAGCATTCTCTCTGCCTAAGCCCACCAGAGAACTGTCAGCTTAATTAATGTTTGTAAAACATTTTTGTGATGAAAAACACCATTAGCTCAAACCGCTGCTATGAAAAGTGTTGTTTTCAAAACCTCATCCACACATTAGCATCTGTCTTAACTAGTCCCAAGGGAGACAGAAAAGACTAAAGGAACCAAATGGTGACAAAGGAGATGGTGGAGGTCTTAATGGGACTCCTGGCACCAAGGAAGAGCGGGGCTTGATGGATTCTGTGATGTGTGTGCTGTGTGCAGTCCCGCTTGCCGGAGCAGCTCCCAACAACTGATTATTTATGTGGGTAAATAATGAAAAATGCTTCTGTTTGTTTTATGCCCCAGATGTTGTTGAAACAAGAAATCAGCACAGTCTCATATCTGGGGTGAAAAACCAGGAAACAGAATTAGCCAGCTGGTTAGGATGCCTCTGCTAAGAGATTTAGACAGTAAGGGAGGACTGGCTAGAGGCCATAAGGCCTTGGGAATGTCCTAAACACAGGGCCACTGAGCACAGACAAAGCCTTCGTGTCATATGGAAAAGACATCCTCTTTGGGCACCACCCTTTTCCAGAGTCCTGGGTAGAAAGGCAGGGATTGGACATCTATTTGATTGACATGGATTATGGCAGGGTACCCTGGTTCTGGCCAGATGTGTTTGAGGAGTTTGGAATTCATAAATAGGCAAAACCAAAGCTGAATTGCAGAGATGTCCCTCCCTCTGAGCTGGTATGGTTTGGTGAGCAGAACATGACTTGGATTTTGGCCCTCATTCCAGCTTCTGTAGCCTGGCATCCTAGTGTCGTGCACTACCCATGTGGTCAAGTTCTGGGTCTTGGAAGACCAAGCCTGGCAGGATGGAGTTGTGCCTCTGAGCTGCAGCTCTTTAAAATGTCTCAGAAAGAATCTAGAAGCTGCTGAAACACCTACTACCAAGGACTTATTTCTCCTCTCTTCAGTTAGTTAGTCCCAAATTGCCACTCCCTTGTCTGGAAACTTGTCCCAACTACCTTCTAACTGCATAATCCTTAACTAATGGCATTAATGACGCAAGAAGAGCTTGATTAAACTTGTAAAGACTTGTATTTTATTTGCAAGTCTGTTCTAAAGTTCTAAAATTGAGCACTTTATTTTATCTTTTAATACTTCAGGGGAAAAAGTTGTAAATACATCTGCTTCTTAGGAATTTAATCTAAGCTTTGTATTAAGCTTGAAGTCATATAATAATCCATCCTTCATTCCTGTGTTGGTAAAAAACAGATATGTTTTTTTTTTCCTGTAAAGTCTTAGCGTCTGTGGGGCTTTAGTGTAGGAGCAAAGTGACCTTTCTTGTGTGTCTGTGCCAAATTTATTCAAATACATAGGCCAGCAAATCACTATCTGTAAGGTCACTTTGCTCTCCTTTAAGACTGCCCATTGCATTTCAAATGAAAGCCAAACTCTTCCTCGTAGCAGGCAAGGCCTTACAAAATCCACCCCTGCAAACAGGGCTCATTGTGGTGTTGCACTAGTTGGTGATGTTGGACTCTCATGGTGGTGTTGAACTAGTTGTATACCAAGTTCTTATCCATCTCTCATTTTCGGTTTCAATGGTGTAATTTAAATAATAATTTAATAACTGGTCTAATAATTGAGTAAGAGATATTCAAGTCCCTTATTAATCTGCATGATATTTCATATATTTTTTCCTAACATATCATCTAATATCTATTTACATCAGGAGGGTGAGAGTACAAATGTTTTAATCCATAATATGTATGCCGATATTCCTTTTCCTTGGCTGCTCTAAGCCTTTAACTAACAATTAGATCTATAGCCTAATTTTCTATAGGAATAATCACTGTTTACATAAAATATGTCTGTATTGATGACTAAATATTTAATAAATGTGAACTTAAGATTCCAGGTATACATATCATTATGTAGAAATAGAACAGAATGAAATGGATACATTAATAATAAAATATGGCTATAAATAACATTTAACAGTCATTGTCTGTTAAAATTCATTTAATAAAATATATAGTTAACATAAAAGTATACCATTTTTCTTTCATTCTGATGGACATCATCATTGATAGAGATGCCATCATCTGTTGGCTGAATATCTGCAAAATCCTGTGGTCAGTAATGTTAGGAACACCATCATCTCTTTCCAGAATTCCTAAAAAAATAGGAGGATAAAAACCATAGCTGTGGACACATGATTTCTTGTCAAGTTACCTGCCAAATCACATGATCAATACTGTAACTAGTGAAACATCATCTCTATCCTGGGAAATGGCAAAAAATCCGTGGTCATTGCCATGGTTGGGGCCTCTTAACTGGATATATGCAAAATCCTATGGTAACTAACATGGATAAGGACACATCACCCTTTATTTAGACAATTAAAATATCCCAAAACCACTAGCATGGTAAGGGACAGATCAACTCTTACCTGGATGCATGCAAAATTCAAAGGTCCGTGCTACATATACAGACACCATCATCTTCTGCCAATATACTTGCAACGATCACCTGCATCAATGTATTAGACAAATATCATCTCTTATCTGGATCTCTAGAAAGGCCAGGAAAAAATATCACAGTAGGGGAACATTACCCCTTGCCTAACTGCAAAATCCCGTGGTCACAATCTTGATTAGGGACACCATCAACTCTTACCTGGATACCTGCACATTTCCAAGGATAACACCTTAGTGAGTGACACCTTCATAGTGTGATGCCTGCAAAATTCCCCTGCTCATCATAATGGTTAGTCAACATAATTTACAAGGACACTTCCAAATAAACATGGCCACTATGTTGGCTTAAGAACACCAGTACAGCTTACCTAAATATCTGCAAAATCTCATGAACTCCAACTTTGGACAATCATCATCTTGTAGCTGGATGCAAACAAAATCTTGCCTTCAATACCGTAGGAAGATTTGCAATAATCTCTTAATTGGAATCTACAAAAACCCAGAGACAACAGCATTTACAGACAAAGCTACAACTTGGATACCAGAAAATTCTATGGATACTATGAACTTAAAGGGAAACATAAAATCTTCCTAGATACTAGCAAAATCCAAGATCAATACTAGTTAGAGATAATATTAACTCTTGAGTGGACATCTCCAAAAACAGCAATCAAGAGATGATGGTTCAACTAATAATACTATTTAATTTGGATAATAGATCTTACCTGGATACCAGCAAAGGCACTATCATCTCTTTATTAGATCCTTCAAAAAAATCATGGTAAAAACTGTGTTAGGAATACATGTACCACATCAACACCTGCAAAATTCCATGGTCACTTGATTATTAGGGAGCCTATCAAAACTACTTGGAAATATTCAGAAGTTCAAAGTCAATAACCTAGTTAGAGGCACATTCTTGCTTGATGAGATAACTGCCAAAAAAAAAAAAAAGTCATAGTCAATAAAGAGGTGATGGACAAAAGGATAACTTACTTGGATACCTGCATATCCCTTAGTTACTATTAAGGTTAAACACATATATTTAAATTCTAAAATAGAAAGGGCTATTGCTTACTAGTACCTGTTGGGACACTATCATTTCTTACGTGAATTTCTGCAAAAAAAAAAAACCAAAAAAAAACCCTGATAACACAAATGTTAGGAAGACCAATTTTACTTACCTAGATAACTGAAGATCACATGATTTATAGTGTGCTTAAGGCTCACATCATCACTTACCTGGGTATAAGCAAAGTCTCTATTACCAGTCATTATGAAGTTCAATGTGATCTCTTGACTGGAATCTGAAAAACACATGACAAATGTGTTTATGAACACACATTTTCAACTTCTACAGCTGCAAATAATCTTGTTTGCTTCCTTCATTGCAGGACATATAACTCTACCTGGATACTTACAGTAATCCAAGGTCTATACCATGGTTAATGTCACCATTGTTTTCTGACTGCACACATGCAAAAATACCATGGATAATATTGTGATGCAGAACACATAAAAATTACCTGGATTCTTGAAAATCATAAGACACGTATAGGGTAAAAAAATAATTTTTCTCTAGGATATAAAACGGTAGGATAACTTGGGAAAACACTATCACTACTTACCTGAATACTTATAAAAAAAAACACACATTGTAAAACAAGTTTAGGCAAACAAACATCACTTACCCTGTTATGTGAAGATCAGATGGTCTTTGATGTGGTTAAAGTGTATATTATCACTTACCTGGACACCAGAAATGTCCCCTGATAATGACCATTGTTAGGTTTATCATGATCTCTCAACAGGAACCTGAAAAACATTATGATATAGGTGTAAAAAATACAATGGTGCTCTACCAGGACATCTGCAAATAACCTTGGTCACTTCCATCATTATGAACACATCAACTCTACCTGTCTACTTGCAGTAATACAAAGTAAAGACCACTATTGGATAAGACAACATTTGTTTTGAGGACACCTGCAATAATCCCATGGTTACTACTGTGGCTACGAACATCATGATAATTACTTGATATGTGCAATTTCTCAACACTCAAGGGTTAAACAAACATTTTCCCTAAATATCAAAAGTGAAAATTCATAGTTTTGAAAATTGGTAACTATTCTTTTATTTCCTGCCTGAATACCTACAAAGAAATTATAGTAACGACAAGTGTCAGGGATACAATCATCACTTCCATATGTATATATGAAGATCAGACAGTATGTGCTGTGGTTTAGGTCCCCATCCTTGCTTACCTCAAAACCAGTAATACCTCATGATAATTACCATAGATAGGCTCACTATGATCTCCTGACATGCCCTGAAAAACACATTGTTGGAAATGGGTTTGGTACTGGTCTTATTCTACCCGTAAAACTACACATTCCCTTGGTCTCTTGTCTATTTGGTGGCTCACCAAATTTACGTAGATAATTGCAGAATGAGGTAAAACTGTAGGAAGAGGCACCATCCAGTCTTTAATGGATACCTGCAAAAATCTCATGGTCAATTACATGGTGTTGGACAATATGATAAAATATCAAGATATATGCATATCTATCAGTACAAGTGTTAAATAAACATTTTCTCAAAAGAATATATTAAAAACTCATGCTTGCCAGTATTATTAGGGACAAATTACTTTTCAAACTGCATACATGCCCAAAAGAAGGTTAATATAACACTCTTAAAAACCTCATTCATCACTTACATATCTGGAAATAAGAAGGTCTCTAACGAGTTAGAATCACATCATCTCACACCTGTATACTACCAAACAACAGGAAACCTGAATAAAAAAATTGACAGTAACATCATGTTAGAGAGACCATACTCACTTAGAAATCTGAAGATCAGATGGTCTGTAGTGTGCCAAGATCCAGTTTGTCACTGACCTGGTTATTACCAAGGACCCATAAATGACCATTGTTAGGTTCACTATGATCTCATGATTGCTGGAACCTGAAAATGCACATTCAACAAGTGTGTTTAATGATACACGTTGTTTTACCTGCAAAAAAATAGGAGGGGGGCACCTGTAACTTATCTTGGTCATTTTCATCATTAGGGGAACCATTAACACTAACTGGACTTTGGCAGAACTTTGAGATCAACACCATTGTTAGAGAAACCATCACTTGACTTAGAAATCTCATGGTCAATACTGTGATGTGAAATAGTAGGATAACTTACATGGATACCTGCATAGCCCTTGCTTGCTACTGAAGTTAAACACACATTATATCCCATTTCCAAAATTGTAAAGGCTAATGCTTACTAGAATTGGCTGGGACATTATCATTTGATGACTGAATACTTGCAAAAAAATACCCATGGTAACAAAGAAGTTAGGAACACCATCCACACTCACCTGTACTTCTGAAGATCAGATTGTCTGTAGGGTGCTTAAGGCCCACATCATCACTTACCTGGATACAAGTAAAGTTCATTTATTGATCACTATGAGGTTTAGCATGATTTTTTGACAGGAACCTGAAAACACATAGTGACACATGTGTCTATGGACACAGCTTTTTTATAAGGCCCTCCAAATAACTTGCTTATTATAAATTGCTTATATATAAATTGCTTATTTGCAAGAGCCATAAATCTACCTGGATTTTTGCAGTATTTCCAAGGTCTATACCATGATAGGACACACCATTTTCCCTTGATTACTTATCTATAGAAATGCCATAGTTACTGCTGTGATGCATACCACCATGTTAGTTACTTGGGTACATGCAAATTATGTGACAATCAAAAGGTAAAGCATCAATTTTCTCTAAAATAGAAAATAATAGGATAACATAATCACTAGAATTGGGAAACACTATTAATACTCACCTAAATACCTGTTTAAAAAGTCACATGGTAAAAGAGTTTAGGAAAAGAAACATCACTTACCTAGATACGTGAAAATCAGAGGATATGTGATGTGGTTAAAGTGCACATCACCACTTACCGGGATGCCAGAATTGTCCCCTGATAATGACCACTGTTCATCAGGATTTCTTGACAGGAACCTAAAAAACATATTATGATATAGATATAAAAAAACCACAATGTGTTCTGCCAGGGCACCTGCAAATAATTTTGCTCACATCTGTCATTAGGGGACACATCAATTCTACATGAATACTTGCAGCCAGTCCTCCAAAATCAAGACTATTGTTAGATAAGATAATATTTTTTAATGAACCACCTGCAAAATTTCCATGGTTACTATGTGGCTGAAAACATCTGACAATTACCTGGGTATGAGCAATCCCACAACACAGGGCTAAACATTTTCTCTAAATATAATAAAGGAAAACTCATGGTTTTGAGAATTAGTAAGGACTATTATTTCCTACCTGAATACCTGCAAAGAAATCATGATAATGACCAGTGCAAGGTACATATTATCACTTACCTAGATATCTGAAGATTAGAAAACCTGTGCTTTGGTTTAGGTCCACATCAGCACTGCCTTGATATCAGCAGTATCTGCCATTTAAGACCAATGTTAGATTCATTGTGATCGCTTCACAGGAATCTGAGAAAGACATTATTAAAAATGTGTTTAAGGACACAACTATCTCCACCAGGATAACTGCAATTAAACTTGATCACTTTTATCATTATCGGAGACATTAACTCTCAGTTGCAGTAATCCAAGGTCAACACTGATGTCAGAAAACTGTTATTTCTTCACTGGACACCAGTAAAAATCCTACAGGTAGTTAAGTTCTATTGGAGGGAACTGAATGATAAATACCTGGATATGTACAATTCCTCAATACTCAGAGGATTAAGCACAAATTTTTCCTGAAATATAAAATGTGGAAACTCATGGTTTCTACAATTAGTAATTTAATCATTGCTTACTTGAATACCTGCAAAAAAAAAAAAATCATGGTAACAGCAAATGTTAGGGATAGCATCATCACTTACCTAGATATCTGAAGATCGGATGACCTATGCTATGGTTTAGGTCCACACCAACACTGCCTCCATACCAGCAACGTCCCACATTAACAATCAGAGAGAGGCTCACTGTGGTCGTGACATGAATCCAAAAAGCACATTGTGTACCAAGTGATTAGTACACATCTCATTCTACCTGTGTATTTGCAAACTCCCTTGGTCATTTGATCATTTCAGGACTCATCAGCACTACCTGGATACTCACAGAACTCTGAAGAAAAAAGCCTTGTAAGAGACCTCTTACTTCTTTAAAGGGATACCTGAAAAAATCCCATGGTCAATATTGTGGTAATCAACAATATGAGAAATTACCTGGATACCTACATTTCCCCCTACAATTAAAAGAGTTAAATATACATTATTTCCAAGCAAGAATACAATAAAATCTCACGCTTATTAGTATTATTAGTATTAGTATATTAAGAAGTTAATTTCATAACTGCATATATGCCAAAAACAAGGTTAATGTAACAGTCTCAAAAATATCATTAGTTACCTACATATATATGAAAATAAGAATGTCTGTAATGAGTTAATGTGACATTTTATTATACTGTATAATAGCAAAGACAAAATACCAGCAAAAAACCATGGCAACACAAGCGTTAGGTACACCTACCTAGATATTGAAGGTCAGAGGGTCTGCACAGTGGTATGACCCAATGTATCACTTACCTGGTCACTAGATAAGGTTCCAATAACAACCATTATTTAGCACACTGTTTTTGTTTAGAGAAACCTGAAAAAACCACACGCAAAAGATGTGTTTAAGTATACAACTTGTTCTACAAGGACACCTGCCCATACCTTGCAAGCTGTCATTATTATGGGATACCTCAGCTTTACACAGATACCTGGATTAACTCAAAGTCAACACTATTGTCAGGAGAGACCATCGTTTCTTAACTGGACATCTGCAAAAATCCTATGTTTACCACAAGAGTGTTAGTTTTATAACAGTTACAATTAACCAGAATAAAATCAATTCCTTAACACTACTAGGTTAAAGGTAAATTTTCTCTAAAATATAAAAAGGTATAAATTCCTGGTTATTTGAATTTGTAAAGATTCTATCATTTCTTCCCTGAATACCTGTTAACAAATCAAATGGTAAAACAGTTTAGGCAAACAAACATCACTTACCCAGATGCATGAAGATCACATGGTCTGTGATGTGGTAAACATGCAAAACATCACTTACCTGAATACCAGAAATGTCCCCTGATAATGATCACTGTTAAGATTATCATGAACTCTTCAGAGAAACCTGAGAAACATTGTGATAGATGTATAAACAGAAGCAACATGTTCTAACAGGAACCAGTGGATAAAGTTGGTCACATCCAAGAATATGGGACACAGCTACACTACCTCAATACTTGCGGCACTCCAAGGTCAGGGCCAAAGTCAGGAGATATTTCTTTGCAGGACACCTGGAAAGAGTCCATGGTGATGGCTGTGGCTGGGAACATCTGATAATTACTGGGATATGTGCAACCCTACAACATTCTCAGGGTTACACATTTCATCTAAATAAGAAAAGAGAAATCTCAAGGTTTCCAGTACAGGTAAAGAAGCTATGATTTCTTAAAAGAATACCTTACCAGAATACAAAAGAAATCCTAACAATAGGTGTTAGGGACACCATCATCACTTACCTAAATACCTGAAGATCAGGAGGCCTGTGTTTTGGGTTAGGTCCATGACAGAACTTACCTGCACACCAATGACAGCCCTCATTAAAGATCTATGTTAGATTCACCATAATCTCTTCACAGGTTTCTGAAAAAAAAATTATAAAATATGTGTTTAAGGAAGGACACAAGTTTCCTACCAGGATAAATGCAAATAAGCCTGGTCACTTCCACTATAATGGGACACATCAACTCTACCTGGTTCCTTGGTCAACACCGATATCAGGAAACCATAATTTCTTGACTGGGCACCTATAAAAACCCTACGGGCAGCACTGTGGTGGGGAAACCAATGATAAATACCTGGATATGTGCAATCCTGCCACACACACAGGGTTAAATATAAACTTTTTCTGAAATATAAATGTGAAAATAGGTTTTCTAGAATTGGGAAGGACTCTATCACTCTGAACATAAATACTTAGTAAGAATTATGGTTACAAGGAATGTAGTACCATCATGACTTACCTATATGCATGAGGATACATGGTCTGTGCTGTGGATTAGGCCCACCTCAGCACCTACCTCAATATCAGCAATGGCCCACGTTAACTAGCATCGATAGTCTGACCAGGATCTCCTGACCTGAATATAAAACACAGATGGGGGACTATGTGTGTGGTACAGGTCTCATTCAACCTGTCTACCTTCAAATTCCTTTGGTTACATATCATTCTGAGACTCATCAAGACCACTGGGATACTTATAGAAGGAAAAAGCCTTGTAAAAGTCCTTGTATTCTCTTGAAGAATTGCTGCAAAAATCTCATGGTTAACATCCCATCAATAGACAATATAATAAATTATCTGGATCTCTGGACACCCCTCTACTGTACAAGTATTAAAAACAAACTTATATGAAAGTAATATAAATAAATGCTCATGTTTATTAGTAATATTAGGGAGATATTAATTTCTTAATGTATACATGCCCCAGACAAGGTAAAGATAAGAGTGTCTGAAACATTAATTCCATAGATATCTGAAAATACATCTCTAATGAGTTAATGTGATATTGTTTAACATGGCAACACAAGTGTTAGGGACACCATCTTCACCTACCTAGCTTGAAGGTCAGATGGTCTGCACTGTGGTACAATCACGTTATCAATTACCTGGTTATTAAAAAGCTTTCATTAATGACAATTGTCTCATTCATTGTTTTCTTTTGATAGGAACTTAAAAAAAATGAGAATAAATGACTATAAGGACATGACATGCTCTACCAGGTCACCTGTCCATACCTGGTATGCCTCCATTATTATGGGACACATCAACTCTACCTGAGTACTTGCATTAATTCAAAGTGAACACAATTGTCAGGAGGGAGCATCATTTGCTGACTGGTCATTTGCAAAAAAAAAAAAATTCAGTGGTTACCACTGTGCTGGTGGTTTCACAAAAATTACCAGATTATAATCAATTCCTCAACACTCACAGGTTAAATAAATTTTCTTTAAACTATAAAACGTGTAAAATCATGGTTTCTAGAATTGGTGAGGACTTTCTTATTTCTTACCTGAACACCTGCAACAAAATCCTGGCAACGAAGAGGACTGAGGAAGAAGGATACTGGGAGTTGCAGCAAGGGGAACGTGGAGAGTGTGCTCTGCTCTCGGCCGCTGGTCAAAGATATGGTGTGTAGGGTGCTGGTGAGGGCCAGGCGAGCTTTTCCCTGTCTCCCATGTGATGGGATCCTATACAGCCTATAAAAGCATTTTTAAACAATTTTAAAAGGGAAAAAAAAAATCCTGGTAACAAGAAGTGTTAGAGACACCATCATCACTTACCTACATATATGAAGATCAGATGGCTGGGCTGTGCTTTAGGCCCACAGCATCACTTACCTCAAGGCCCGCTGCTGACCTTGTTAACTGCCATTCATAGGCTCACTGTGATGCCTTGACATGAAAAGCACATCATGTAAAATATCTTGAGTACACATCTTATTCTACCAGGAAACCTGCAGAAATCCTTGGTGCCTTGTGTCACTTATGCACCCATCAAAGTCACCTGGAGAATTGCAAAACTCAAAGGTTACAGCCTAGTAGAGGTATCTTGCTCTCTCAAAGGGATACCTGCAAATATCCCATTGTCAATTGCAGGGAGATAGACCACGTGATGAAGTACCCGGATACTTGCCCATCTATGACTATGAATGTAAAAAACACATTACCTCTAATCAAGAAATAATAAAATCTCATGCTTAATAATAAAATCTCATGCTTAATCTCATGCTTACTCTGATAATAATTTGTCAGAGACAAATTAATTTCTGAACTGCATGCATGCCAAACATAAAGTTAATATAAGAGTCTAAAAAACATCATTAATAATCTACATATCTCAGGCTGGGCGCGGTGGCTCACACCTGTAATCCTAGCTCTCTGGGAGGCCGAGGCGGGTGAACTGCTCGAGGTCAGGAGTTTGAAACCAGCCTGAGCAAGAGCGAGACCCCGTCTCTACTATAAATAGAAAGAAATTAATTGGCCAACTAATATATATAGAAAAAATCAGCCAGGCATGGTGGCACATACCTGTAGTCCCAGCTACTCGGGAAGCTGAGGCAGAAGGATTGCTTGAGCCCAGGAGTTTGAGGTTGCTGTGAGCTAGGCTGATGCCACGGCACTCACTCTAGCCTGGGCAACAAAGCGAGACTCTGTCTCAAAAAAAATAATAATAATAATAATCTACATATCTCAAAATGATATCTAATGAGATGTCACAACATCTCATATCTGTATAATAGGAAAGAACTTTATAGGGTACCTGCCAAAAAGCAGGGTAACAATGTGTTAAGGGCACCATCTAAATTTACCTAGAATTCTGAATATTAGATGGTATGAATTGTGGTAGCATGCATATTGTCCCTTACCTGGTTACTAGCAAGTTTCCATTTGTAGGTTCACTGAGATCTCAAGACTGCTGGGACCTGAAGAAAACACATTTGAGAAGTGTGTTCAAAACACATGTTATCTACTGGATGGGAAAATGCAGGATACCTGCAAACAATATTGGTCCCTTCCATCATCAGGGCAACCATCAATAGTACTTAGATCTTACCATGACTTCAAAGTCAGCAATGTTGTTAATGATATCATCATCTCTTCCCTGAGTACCTGTAGAAGTCTCATGATAAATACTGTGGTGTGGAACAGTAGGATAACTTGCTTGGACAACTGCATTATCCCTCCATAGCTTCTAAGATTAAACACACTATATGTAAACTCTAAAATGATAGTGGCTAATGCCCGTTAGCATTTGGTTGGGAGACTATGATTTTTTTTAACTAAATACTTGCAAGAAATACATGGCAACACGAATGTAGAAACATCATCTACACTTACCTATATATCTGCGCTTCACATTGTTTGCAGGGCACTTAAGGCCTACATCATCATTTACTTGGATATAAGCACGCTCCTTCTTGATCATTAGGAGGTTTACCATGATCTGTTGATAAGAACCTGAAAACATATTGTGACAAATATGTCTATGAACACAGCTTTTCTACCAGGATCCTGCAAATAACCTTGTTCACTGCCATTATCCCAGGAACCATCAACTTTACCTTGCATGTTTCTGCAGGTTCCAAGGTCTACTTCATTTTTAGACACATTGTTGTCTCTTCATACCCACCTGCAAAAATATATTTCCATGGTTGCTACTGTAATGCACAACTCCATGATAATCTCCTAGGAACATCTGACACTCATATGGTAAAATTTTCTCTAAAATATAAAATGGTTGGATAATGTGGTTACTAGAATTAGGGAGCACTTTCATTTTTACCTAAATAGCTGTTTAAAAAATCACATGGTAAAATAAGTTTAGGCAAATAAACATAACTTACCCAGATACATAATGATCAGAATGTCTGTGATATGATGTTGGTACGAAGCATCACTTACTTGGATACTAGAATTGTTCCCTTAAAATGAATACTCTTAAGTTCATCATGATCTCTTGACAAGAACCTAAAAAACATATTGTGATATATGTGTAAATGGATACAACATGTTCTGCCAGGATTCAGCAAGTAACGCTGAATACATCCATGATTACGGGATTCTACCTGGATACTTGTTGTAGTCCAAGGTTATAGCCATTGTCAGATAAAACAACATTTCCTTACAGGACACCTGCAAACATCCCATGGTGATGACTGGTTGGGAACATTTAATAATTACCTGATATGTGCACTCTCCCAACACTTATAGGGTTAAACATGTTCTCTAACATATAAAAAGGAAAAATTCATGGTTTCTAGTATTTGTAAGAAATCTTATCATTTCGTACTAGAATACCTTAAAATAAATGATGGTAACAACAAGTAGTAGGGAAAGCACCACCACTTACCTAGATACTTGAAGATGAGATGGACTGTGCTTTGGTTTAGGTCCATGTCAACACTTACCTACAAATCAGTGAAATCCCCCATTAAGGAACAATGTTAGATTCCAATGTGATGCCACGAAGGGAATCTGGAAAAGGCATTAGAAATATATGTTTAAAGATACAATTTTTGCCACCAGGACAACTGAAAATAACCTTGGTTACTTTCATCTTTATGGGACACATCAACTCTATCTGGATACTTACAGTAAGCCTGGATCAACGCTGACATTACAAAACTATCATTTCTTGACTGTCCACCTGTAAAAACCTATGGGCAGCACTCTGGTGGGGAACACAATGATGAGTACTGGGGTATGTGCTACCCCTCAACACTCACAGGGGTAAACAGAAATTTCCTCTAAATATAACATGTAAAAATTCAGGGTTTCAAGAATTGGTAAGGAGTGAATGATTTATTACCTGAATAGCTGTGAAAAAAAAAAACAAGACCATAAGAAGTATAGAACACATCATTACTTACCTATGTACTTATGACAATCTCATCATCTATGCTGTGGTTTAGACATGAGCATTTAACTTGATATCACCAGGGCCCGTGGTAACTAGCCTTGGTAGGCTTGCCGTGATGTTTTGACATAAATCTGGAAAACATATTGTGGAAAATGTGTTTGGCACACATCTCCTTCTAACTGTACACCTGCAAATACCCTTGATCATTTTTATCATTATGGGACCCACCAATCCTACCTGGATACTTGCAGAATTCCAAGGAAAAAGTCTTGTAAGAGACCCCATGCTCTCATGAAGAGATTCCTGCAAAATTCCCATGGTCAGTATCACGGCAATGGACAATAATATCAGTAACCTAGATGCCTGCTTATGTGCGTAGCACTACAAGTATAAACACACATTACCTCTCAACAATAATACAGAAAATTTCATGATTACTAGTATTATTGTGGAGTTATTAATTTCTTAACTGTTTACATGCCCAAAACAGGGCAAGGATGAGAGTATCTAAAACATTAATTACATAGATATCTGAAAATGAGATGATCTCTAATGTGTTAATGGAAAATTATCTGGTATCTGTATACTAGAAGAAATACCTTCACAGAATACCTATAAAAAACACAGTAACATAAGACTCAGGACATGATCTTCATGTTCCTAGATATTGAAAGTACAATGGTCTACATTGTAGTACAATATAATTTATCACTTACCTGTTTCCTAGCAAGGTTTCATTACTGACCACTGGGTTACTGTTGCATTGTTTTGACAAGAACCTAGAAAAACATATATAACAAATGTGTTTTAGGATACAACTTGTTCTACCAGGACACCTGTCCACAACCTTGTACGCTTCCATTATTGTGGGACACATCAAATCTACCTGGACACTTGCTTCAATTGAACACTGCCACACCTTTGTTAGAGACACAATCATCTCTTGACTGCAAACCTGAAAATATCCCATAGTTACCACCATGATGGGGAGCTCCAAGACAGTTACATGGATATATGGAGATACCTGATGACACACATGGTTAAATATACATTTTCTATAAAATATAAACTGTAAAGTATCATGCTTGCTAGAATTGGGAAAAACCATCATGTCTTACCTGAGGTAAACATCCTAAGGCAAACCTTCCCTAGATATATACAGATAGAGGGTCCATGATGTGATTCAAATACACACCATCACTTACCTGAACACCAGCAATGTCCCCTATTAACATGCACTTTTAATTCCAAAATGCTTGTTTCACAGGAATCTGAAATACATTGTGAATATGTGTTAAAGAACGCAACTTTTTCCACAAAGACATCTGCAAATAACTTTAGTGACTTCCGTCCCCATGAGACAAATCAACTTTACCTGGACATTTACAGTATTCCAAGGTCAACACCACTGTGGTATCAAAAAATCATTTCTTGACAGGAAACCTATAAAATCCTGTAGTTACTCCTCTGGTGAGGATCACCAGAATCATTACCTGGATACACACAATCCCTCAAACTCACAGAGTTTACCATAAATTTTCTCTAAAATATAAAATGCAAAACAGCATGGATTCTAGAATTGGTAAGGATTCTATTATTACTTACCTGAACATCTGCAAAATGGCCAGGTGGGCTGTACTGTGCTTCTGTCCCATGTCACCCCTTTCCTTCGCACCAACCATGTCCCATTTCATTACCCTTTTTAAGTTCATTGTCATGTCTTGACTTGAATCTGAAAATCACATTGTGAAAAATGAGTTTGGTACATGTCTTCTAATACTTGAATACCTGCAAACCCCTTTGGTCACTTGGATCATTTCAAGGCCTATGAACAATACCTGGATGCCTGCAGAACTCTGAGTTCAAATTATCGTAAGAAACCCCTTCCTCTCTTGAATGCATACCTGAAAAGTGATCAATAACCTTGTGATAGACAATACTATAAAGTACCTGGATACTTGCATACCCATCTGTCACTAGAACGTTAAATATACACTCTCTCTAAACAAGAATACAGTAAAATCCCATGTTTACTAGTATTGCTAGGAACTAATTTTCTAACTGCATACACGGCAAAAACAATGTTAATATAAGAGTCTTGAGAATACCATTTACTACACAAATATCTGAAAATAAGAATGTCTCTAATCAATCAAGTCATATTGTATCATACCTGTTTACTAGCAAAGACTTTAATGGGATGGGAACTTTAAAAACAGCCATGATAATACAGGTATTTGGGACACCATCTTCACTTACCTAGATATCATTAGATCAGCTGGTCTGCATTGTGTTAAGACCACTTTATCATCTAATTGGTTATTAGCAAGGTCCCATTAACAACCATTAATATCAGTTACCTGGATCTATGAAGATCAGATGATCTGTGACGTATTAAGGTGCAAAACACCACATACCTGGTGATGTGACATACCGTTGATTTGACAGGAAGCTGAGCTAATGCAATGATGTTAGCAAGGAGAAGCAGCTGTAAATACAGATGAAGCTTCAGTCACTGGCTCATGGCTCATCTCCTGCTGTGTGGCTCGGTTCCTAACAGGCCATGGACGGGTACTGGTCTGTGGGTCCAGGGGTTGGGGACCACAGTGTTAAATGACACATAACTTTTACTACCAGGACACCTGCAAATAACCTTGGTCACTTCCATTATTGCAGAACACATAAACTCTACCCAGATACTCGTAGTACTCCAAAGAAATACTGCTGTTATATAAGAACATCATTTCCTGACTGTACACTCACAAAATTCCCATGGATACTATTGGGAGATGAACACAGTGATAGTTACTTACATATGTGCAATTCCTCAACACTCACAGGGTTGAACACAAATTTTCTATAAAATATAAAAAGTAAAAAGTGATGGGTACTCTAATTGGCAAGGACTATGTCATTCTAAGCTGAGTAGCTGCAATGAACACATAGTCACAAAAAGTGTTAGTGACACCATCATAACTTACCTATGTCTATAAAGGTCAGAGGCCTCTGCTGTGGTTTCCGCCTATATCAGCACTTACCCAGATGTGAGCAAAATCCCCATGAATGACTATTGTGAAGTGCATCATGTTCTCTGGACTGAAACCTGAAAAAAAATTTGTTACAAATGTCTCTATGTATATAATTTTCCCCCTGGACATGTATAGATAAGGTTGGTGGCTTCCTTCATTGCAGGACCCATCAACTCTACCTGATTACTTCTAGTATTCCATGGTCTATATTGTTGTTAGTGAAAACATTCTCTGTTGACTCCACACTTCCAAAAGATCCATGGTGACTTGTGTGGAGCTGAACACCATGACAACTCCCTGGATATCTGCAAATCCCTCAACATTCACTAGGCTAAATAAAAGTTTACATCAATATATAAAACAAAGTTAACGTGGGTAATAAATTGATAAGGAGATTATTATTTCTTACCTGAATACTTTTGAAAACCAAAACCAAAACACTGGAAATAAGTTTAGGCCAAGCAACATCACTTACCTGATACAAGAAGATCAGATGGTCAGTGATGTTCTAGGGCCACATCATCACTTATTTGGATACCAGCAAAGTCCATGTTAACCATCATTTTAGGTTCACTGAGCTCTCTTGACAGGAGCCTAAACAGCACTGCACAAAATACATGTTTATGGACACAATTTTTGTCTACCTGGATGCTGGTGATTAACCTTAGTCACTTCCGTCACTACTGGAAACATCAACTCTATTTGGATATCTGTAGTACTCCAAGGTCAAAACCATTTCAGATAAGACCATAATTTCTTGACTGGAAATCTACAAAAATCCCATGATTACTACTGTGGTAGGAAACACAATGATTATTACTGAGATATGGTCATCCCTTAATACTCACAAGGTTAAATAAATTTCCTCAAAATGTAAAAAGTAAGAACTCATGGTTGCTATTACTAGTTAGAACTCTATCATTTCTTAACTAAATACATGAAGAAAAGAAAAACAAACACAGTGACAAGTGTTTAAGATACCATTCATCACTTACCTAGATATATGAAGATTAAGCAGTCTTGCTGTGGTTTAGGCCCACAACATCACTTACCTATATTCCAGCAACGTACCACAGTAACTACCAATGTTAGGCTCACCATGAACTCTTGATAGGAGCCTGAAAAACACATCAGGAAATATGTTTGATACACATCTTATTCTACCTGGTCATCTGAAAATTCCCTTGGTCACTTCTGTCATTTACATCAACATTACCTGAATACTTGTTGAACTCCAAAGTCAAACTCTAGTAAGAGACAGCTTCCTCTCTTAAATGTATACCTGAAAAAAATCCCATGATCTATATGAGGTGAAGAACAATAGGACAAATTAGCTAGATACCTGCATATCCATCTATCACAATGATTGTTAAATATATATTATCTCTAAACAAGGATAAAGTAAAATCTCATGCTTATTAGTATTGATAGAGACAAATTAGTTTCTTCCATGCCAAGGTTAGTGTAAGAGTTCTTCACACCATCATTAATTACCTGAATAAATGAAAATAAGAAGGTCTCTAATGTTTAAATGTTATATCACTTCTTACCTGTATACTAGCAAAGTCCTTACCTGGTACCTGGAAAGAAACCATAGTAACACAAGTGTTAGGGACACTATCATCACTGACCTAGATTTGTGAAGATCAGATGGTCTGTAGTGTGGAAGACCTACCTCACCACTCACCTGCATACTAGCAAAGTCGCAGGTTAACAGTCATTGTTGGGTTCACCATGATCTCTAGACAGGAATTTGAAAAACACATTTTGAAATATGTGTTAAAAGAGACATTTTTTACCATGTGACATTTGCAAATAACCTGGTCGCTTCTACCATTGGGACACACAAACTCTACGTGGACACTCACAGTACTCCAAGGTCAACCACATTGTCAAATAAGACCATTATTTCTTGACTGCACATCTGCAAAAATCCCATGGTGGTGAGGAACAGTATGACAATTATCTGGACATTACAATGCCTCAACACCCACAGAGTTAAAGGTAAATTTTCTCAAAAATTTAAAAAGTCAGAATTCATGGCTTGTAGTGGTGGTAAGGACTTTATTATTTCTTACCTCAATACCTACAAAACAAACAAGCAAACAAACAAATATCATAACAACAATTGGTGGTAGTAGTATCATCACTTACCTTCTTATATGAAGATCAAATGCTTTCTGCTGTGGTTTAAGACCACTTACCTAGATAACAGCAATGTCCCCCATTAACGACCCATTGTTAAGTTCACTATGACCTCTTGAAAGGAACCTGAAATGCATATTGTGAAAAATGTGCTTAGTGCACATCTTATAAACCTGGACACTTGCAAATACCCTCGATTACTTCTTTTTGTTACTCATCAATGCTACCTGGATACTTGTAGAATTGCAAAGGCAAACCCTTGTAAAGACACCTCTCTCTTTTGAAGGAATACCTACAAAAATTCTATGGTTAATAGCATGATGATAGACAGTGTGATAACATACCTGGATACCTGAAGCTCCTTCAATTACTACTAGAGTTAAATACAAATTATCACTAAACAACAGCACATGAAATCTCATGCTTACTATTACACTATTAGTGGAGAAAATTAATTTCTTCCTTGAAAGCCTGCCCCAAACCAGGTTACCATCAGAGTTATGATCACTGTCATCAATTACCTAAATATTTGAAATTCAGAAGGTCTCTAATGTGTAAATGCCACATCATTTCTTACCTTTATATTAGCAAAGTTCTTACCTGAATACCTGTTAAAAAAAACAAAACCCTTGTAACCACAGTGTGAACAGGCACTATTAACTCTAGATATCTGAAACCTAAAATTGTCTAATGTGTAAAGGCTCATACCATGTCTTAACCTGTCTACCAGCAAAGTCCATGTTCACTATCATTGTTAGTTTTACCACCATCCATTGAGTGGAACCTGGTTAGGGATCCATTTTTTTTCTACCTAGCCTATGTAACATCTCATGGGAACTACCAACATTGAAGGAGCCATGAACTTTACCTGGATACTTGCAGAATATCAAGATCAAAACCATAAACACATCATAATCTCTTGACCACCGGGTACCTGTAAATATAGCATAGTCAATACTGAGATGAAAAACACTGTGATAATTTACTTGGAAACTTAGAAATTCCTAGTAGTATTAATCAGGTTTCAAAACATTGTCTTTGAAGTAGTAAATAGTAAGGGCTTTTCCTTAGTAGTATTTGTGGGGACACTATTAATTTTTTTGAGACAGGGTCTGGCTATGTTGCCCATTTTGGTCTCAAACTCCTGGACTTAAGCAATCCTCCCACCTCAGCCTCCAGAGTAACTGGGACTGCAGGTGTGCACCACTGCACCCAGCTTTATTTCTCCCCTGAATATCTGAACAAAAACATGGTAATACAAATGTTAGGGGTGCCATCATCACTTACATAAATTTCTGAAGGTCAGAAAGTCTATCTACCTGGATACCAGCAAAGTTCCATGCTAACCACCATTGTTAGGGTCACCATGATCTTTAGACTGTAACCTAAAAAAACACATTGGGACAGATTTGTTTAAGGATACAACTTTTTCTACCAGAGCACCTGCAAACAACAAAGGTTATATGCAGGTGTATCAGTGCTTTATGGACCCATTAATGCTACCTGGATACTGGCAGAATTTCAAAGTCAATACCATTGTTACAGATACTATCATCTCTTGACTATGTACCTATAAAAATCTCATGGTCAATCCTGTGGAGAAGAAAATTGTGATCACTTACTTGTATGTAAAAATCCCTCATTCACTCCTAAGGTTAAACACACCACACATTATTACTAAACTAAAAAACTGGCTAAACTAGATTTCACGGTTACTAGTACTTATTGGTAGACCCAGTATCATTTTTTACCTGAATATTTGCATAAAACATGGTATTGACACATGTTGGGGATACCGTCATCACTTACCTAGATTTCTGAAGATCAGATGGTCTGTACTTGTTTAAGATCCACATCATCACTTACCTGGATTCCACGAAATCCCTACAAAACTACCATTATCAGCTTTACCATTATATCTCGATTGAAGCCTGTAAAACACATGGTAGCAACTATGGTTAGGGATATATCTTCTATATGGAACTCAAAAAATTCCATGGTCAATAGTATTGTTAGGGGAACCATGAACTATACCTGGATCCTTTAGTACTTAGATATGCCATCATCTCTTGACTGGGACCTGAAAAAACACATGGTGGCAACCCTGGTTAGGGATACATGTTCTTCCATCTGGACCCCTGCTAATTCCATCATCCATCCATTCACTACAATCATCAGGGCAACTACTAACTCTATCTGGACACTTAGAGAACTCCAAGGTCAAAATAATAGTTTCATATACCATCATCTATTCACTGGACACCTGCAAAAATCCCATAGTCAGTACTGTGGTGAGGAACTCTGTGATATCTTACCTGGATGCCTGCTAATATCTTTGTCACTACTAAGTCTTAAGACTATATGTCTCTGAACTAGAAAATGGTAACATCTGATAGTTACCACTTTGCTAGGGACATTCATTTCTTACCTGAACACCTGTAAAATCACATGAATATGAAACAAGTTCAGGACAGCATCATCACTTTTCTAGATACCTGAAAGTCATATGGTTACTAAGGTGTCTAAGGCCCACATCATCTCTTACCTGGATACAAGCAAAATTCCATCCTTACTACCATTGTTAGTTTTATCATCATTGATTTACTGGAAGTTACAAAATCCCATGGTCAGTGACATCATGATAATTTATCTAGACACTTTCAAAAT